ACTCAATCAGCTGACCCTGGCACCCTCTCTTCTACCTGCAATTACCACCTGGGGAACAAGATGCAATGACCACCTGGAAGATGCAGAAGCTCTATGGCCTTTGAAATCTTCAAGAAAAAGCAGGAGAGGGCTCAGATGCTCCCAGAACATATGGAGCCCTTTCAGCCTCCAAAGTTTGAAGGACATACAGCAGCAGGACCTGACGTGTCTTTGCCAGCCCGCTGCTTGTGAAGGCTGGGGGCATGCAGGCCTTCCGTTTCCCCCTAGTGATACTGAAAGGACCAAGGAGCCTCTGAGAGAAAGAAAGAGAAAGGGGGAAAAATAGGAAGAGGGACAGTGAAAAAGCCCACTGGCTTATCCATCATGGAGAAGACGATAGTTAGAGGAAAAAATGGAAAAACCAAATGCAAACATCTCTAACACTGACTTACATATAGATTTTTTTTAAAAGAAAAGGGAAATTTATTTTTTAAATTCTTGCAATTTTTCCTTCTTTTTAAACATTTGAAAACTGTCATTTAGTTCAATAGCTGCTCAAAAAATGGAAGGCAGTTTGCAAACTTTTCAAACTTTTTTCCTTAATTTTTCTGTTCCCATTTCAGAGGCAATCGAAACACTGAAATTAGAGGAATTAGAGCCATCTCTGCAAAAACCAGGCAGCAATACCTGAGACTGAGCTCTTTATTGGTTCAAGTAAACTCCCAGTTTCCAAATGATAATGGCTCTCGTTGTCATTAATAATGCTTCCTATCTCTTACCTGTAGTTTAGCAGTTTACTTATTATTATTATTATTATTATTACTACTACTACTACTACTAATGTTGAAACAAAGGCAGATGGCAAGAAAGATCTGAGTCCAGAATGCAGAGTATTTGGCCAGGCCACAGAAACTATCAGTTATATAACTGACTGTACCAAGCTGGCCAGGGACAAGCATGAAGTGTGGCATGACAAAGTTGGCCATAGTGTATGCTGGGCCCCCTGCAAGAAGTACAGAATACAGCTAGGACAGATACTATAGAGATTCATTTTAAACACATTATGGGATTTTTCAGTTGTGACTGTTAGCGAGATAGGCACTTAAGATGAGCTATGTGGGCTATAAAGGAGGAGGAGGGGTGGTGCTTCATCACAGGCTTTTCCTTTCCCTTTGATGGAAATGTCCCATGGAAAAGGCAAGAAAAAAAGTAACAAACAGAACTGGTTATGGTAGGAACTGAAGAAAATCTAGAACATGAAAAGTATTAGCATAATACCAATTGCTTATGGTGCACCAGGATCTCATGACAGGGGTATCATAACAGCACTGCTCTAGAAATCAGCTCTATTGTAAGAGACCATAGGACCTTCTAAGAGCAACATTAATGGGTACCTCAAAAACCCTAGGAAAGGTGATAACATTTTAAAATCACCATTGCCTTGGTTTAAGTTAGATTCACATTAGCTCCTGTGTTCTCCGAGATGCCAGGAGGCAGTGAGATAAACTGCTGCTACTAATCCCTATAATATCCTGGCAGCGCCCAACAGCCCCTGTCATAAACCAAGACTCCCATGTGGTAGGCACTGTACTAACATTGAAACGTAATGAGCTTTCATTCACAGACTCTGAATGACCTTGCCCTGATCTGTGACTCTAAACAGCATGACACCTTCCACTCAGCAAGATGGGACTAAGATTACTTTCCAGACATGTTGGGTTATATCAGTCAACAACCACCCACAACCAGCACCTTGCATTGTTCTCGAGGACTTTCCACACAGCCAACCCCATCCATCACTCATCCACATTGGTCTGCAACTCCCAATCATTAAATGTAAAAGAAAACCCAGGTGGAGCTTCAGGAAAGCCAACTGGTCCCTATTCATGGAGACTGTTGAACAATCCATTGTTACCATCCCACAGCAAAATGTCCCAGCTGATGAAGCCTATATACATTTCCGTGGTGCCTTCTATAAAGCGGCACAATCCTCTGTACCCAAAGGATTTTACCCCCTGTATACTCCTTGCTTGGATGGAGAGTGTGCTGCTCTACTAGATGAGTATGAAAAATCTGGTGATCCAGATATCGCAGATCACCTTCTTGAATCACTAGATGCTGCTCATCAGAACCGCTGGGAGAACTCAATTTCATGAGCTAATTTCTGCCACTCCGCTTAGAGGAGCTGGGGCCTCATTTGCCTCCTGGGAGCAGCTCAATGTCCCCAACCCAAACTCGATCATCTGTGTTGGCCAATGCTGCTGCTAGCCACCTCCTGAAAGTGGCAAGAGCCCCCATAACAAAACAATTTTGAGCAAGGAATACATGAAGAACGGCGTCATTTCCATCAAAATGTTCAGAACCCAGATCCTCCACAAACCTTTTCACCAAAAGAACTCAATGCTGTGCTGTGCAAATTAAAATCTGGCACCACAACTGGCTATGACAACATGCACTCAGTTTCTGAAACATCTTGGTCCTCGAGCTCGTAATTGGCCTCGACTCTTCTTCAACTGTATTATGCATGGAGGATGAATTCCATCGGCATCGTCCTGAGCAAAAATCATCGGCCTATTCAAGCCTGGCAAAGACCCACAATCAGCAGCAAGTTATCAACCAATCTTCCTCCTGAGTATCTGCTACAAGACACTTGAGAGACTATTTCTACAATATATTTCTTCAGTAACTGATTCTTCCCTAAGCCCAGACGAAACGGGATTCCACCATGGCCGAAGCGCACACAACCAATTTCTAGCCTTAACCACCTTCAGTGATAACAGCTTTCAGAAAAACTGAAGACTGGTGATGTCTTCCTCGATTTAACACCAGCATATGATATTGTCTGGCATACCAGACATCTGGCGAAAACATCAGGAATTCTGCCACATTGGGCTGCTTGTCTAGTCAAACTATTACTAAGTTGTCAACGCTTTCAAGTCTACCTGGCCGACCGAACTAGCTCTTGGAGACATCAAACCAATGACCTGCCTCCGGGATCAGTACATCATTTCTGACCCTACAATTAGTCAACCAGGATTTAGCTGGCCATGCCGTTATTGGGCACTTCTCAACCGTTTTCAAACTGGACAGGGTCACTGTGCCTGAACCCTATACCAATGGGGCCTTCACAATGACAGCGAATGCACTTGTGGACAAGTTCAAACCATGCCCCACATTGTTGACTCGTGTCCATTTAACATGCTACCCGGTGACCTTCAAGCTCTTCACGCTGGTGATGACATCACTGTAAGATGGCTGAAATAATATGCCGAAACCGCATAGACTAAATAAATAAATTCACCGGCTAGTACTAGGGCTGCAGCACAATCGCCGTTTCAGCTGATGTTACTGGTCGGCCGTGCGCCATAGTTTGCTGCAGTAGCATTATGTTTCAGATTGCTCCAGGAGAGAAAGCAATGAATGGTCTAGGTCTTGACATTTTATTGAGGTGTTTTGAGATATTAGTGCCAGGGGTCTTCTTTTAGCAGGAACAGCGTGCCAATAATTTCAGTAAGTTGCCCAAACTGAAATATGATTTGTGCCACTCTGTATATCAGACTCCTACTTCTGAGGAATTTTTACCATCTAAAAACAAAAATACTGCCATAAGGTGTGAATAAAATTAAGTCTCTTTTGTTTAAAAAGAAACTGAGCAACTCCGAGCTATTTCCCCAACACTGCACTAAGTTTATAAACACTCGCAATACAGCAGCTTCCATCACATGACTCCAGGAGCAGGGACTTAAGCTCCTGCCAACTGTGCCTGCAGCTACGTCAGGCTCTGCTTTGAAGTGTATTTTGACCTCCACTACAAAGGACCTCTTTGGACATGGCAAAACACACAGTAATTTGTCAAATCTGGGATGAGTGAAATCTCATGTTGGTATCTGATGTGGGCAGAGCTTAGCTACAGTACACACCACTAATGTTTCGTTTTCAGTTTGAACCTTGCGTAATTTATATGATTAGCTTTTCCAAAAATCCTCTTGCCTGGTCTCTGTGACGATGAATGGCTCTCACAGGTTTCTATGAGTATGCTTCATTTCTGACACTGAAACGGTAGGAAGTTACAACAGGTGCAACAATATGGTTTGAAATGGTTAAAGAAATAGCACAAAATTACAGGGACCTTGAGGATGATGGGGGTGGTGGGGGAAGTCTTTTGCTGATGATAATCAAACACCCAACACTGTATTTAATTAAATAGTTTTGCAATAAATTAATCAGCAGAGTACTAAATTGTGTTCAAATTATTAGCAATAAATGAATCTACAATGTGGAACAACAGACACGGGGTCAAAATGTGGCAATTCTCCCAAACAACCCAGTCAATAACAGGGTAACTATTAGCATGGGATCACTCATAAGACTTTTATCCTTTGGTAACTCAGCTGAAAGGCAGCAGGCACAAGTCACCACAGAGGCAGGCAATACTCCCAGTAAGACGCAGACAGTGGAAGCTTTTTGGCAGCTTTTGTGACTCCTGTTAATGCAAGGCTGCCCAGAGCAGACTGAGTTACGGGCACACTGTTCTGTGGCAGCTCCACATCTATACCTGAAGATACAGCAACTCATTTTCCTTTTGGGAATAAGAAGGTGCCAGCACAAAACCCAGGCACCACGTCCTTACTGCAGCCTTCCAAGTGGGCCATTGCAGAGCCAGTGTGAGCATCATTTCCCCAGTTTGTGCCTATCTTCAACATTGCTGCTCTGTCTGCTTTTACATGGGGCTTAAAGACTCAGAGTGGCTTGTGCTGGCCATTTCACACAAATAAAATATTGTCTGTTTCTGTGTATCGAAAGGAACAAAGTGCCTGGTAAGTGTTCTGGCAGCTGCAATGCTTTTTTTAATCCAGACCAAACTTTCAGCTACTCCCGCGCCCTTCCACAAACCAAGAAAAGGGTATTGCCACGCTCAAGGACAAAAAAATCCAGAAGTAGTAAAGCGCATTGGCAGTGTATCGGTTGTATGCCTTCAGCTATGCTTTATACATCAGCTGTCATTAGCATCTCAGTCTTACCTTTATGCTGAATATCGGTGTTCTCACTGGGAAGCGGCCTCTTGGCAGTTGTTCTGCGATACACCACGTGCGTTCTGCCGCCTTCCTCCTCCTCCTGAGTCCCCTTCTCTAGAGGTTCGATGAAGAACTCGTCCTTGTCTGTGCGAATCATGCCAGCCTAGAGTGACAGGGCAGAGATCGAACATTTCACGTTACGGTGCATGCAGCAGACACTGTGAGTAAACAGTTACAATATGCTTAAGCACACTTTAGCGCTCTCCAGAGAGTGGTTAGAAAGCAGGGAGTAAGCGAGGTGAATTCTTTATTAGAGCAAAATGAAGCATCAGTTCCTCAACTTGACAAGGAAGGACAAAGGTAAAATACTAAACCAAAGGGATTTCTAATAGAATCTAATTAGCAAGGTTTGGGACTAGAATATATATGTGGAAATGGACTCTCAATCAGAAGCCAACTATAACCAAATGGTTAAGACAATCTTAGTCATTTGTCAGCACAAACTGCCGTAGAGTTTATACAAATACCTACTGCTGTTAAAGAAAGGATTGATTCAGCGTCATGAGCTGGTCCTGATGCACAGTTCCATGGTGCAAAAGTGCAAAGCCAGCCTCTTTCTGCTCATGGCAAGACAATGAAGTGCTCAGCTTCATATGATGGCTTTGCAATTTTTCTTATATTCAACATGTCAAATAAACATGACCACGGCACCGTACTGGCACAAAACCCCTCTTAGCCCATTAGACTGTTAAATCACAATTATGAGCAATCAGTTTCTAAGGGAGAAAGGCTTAAAAATTGAGGTTAGACCAAATATGCTGGTATGACAAGAAAATGAAAGCTTCATTCCTCTATGAAACATCAAAAGAAGTCTTACACAATGTTCTCAGCATGACCACTGCTAACTAAAGAAGCGTGTAATTCATTAAGCAGAAGGAAACAAGCTACAAAAAAAAACCCTTCTACCATTTTCAGCTGGGTGGAACCATTTCTAGCTCTTTAGCTCAAGCATGTGTGTTGTTTCGCAGCACTGGCCCTGCTGCAGGAGGTTAGGATAGTCAACAGCTGGCTTGCATAACCGCCTTTCTTTGATTTTCCTGGGTGTGCATTTGCTCAGCTACATTTGAGAACTTAAAACTAATGAACTCTAGCTTTATAAAAGGAAAGCCTGAACATGAAACGCAGCAAATGAAATTCTTGAAAACACGACAAGGAGATAGAAGTTGGCTACACAACCAACATTGTTTAATCTGTCAATCGTTGACTTAAGAGTCAAGCATGGTTGTCTATCCAGTCGTTAGACTTGCTGCACGTGCAACTCAGTATTTCTGTGCCTTTAAACCATATTCTTTGTCTACTTGGGAATCCAAGTTGTCTATAGACCATAGTGCTAGAAGGAGTGCCAATACGGACCCCAATTCTGATTCCTCTGAAGTCAATGTTCAATTTCCCAACATCCTCACTTCAGCACAAGAGATTTCCCAACCTGTGCCGTATCTTGGCTTTAGTACAAGTATACTGAAATATTTTTTTCTACAAACAGCAAACTACTTTTACCACTGCTATAAATACAGCCTGCTCTTTGGTTTCCCTCCTGGAAAAATGTCAGGTTCATTTGTCATGTCTTAACATACATTAGGCAAGATTTCCAGTTGCAGATTTTATATCTATAATGTATACAAAAAGAGATTGAAAGGGAAGGATTAAAGAAACAAAATTATATTTAAGCAGTTTAGACTGTTACCAGGCTGCCTATACAGAGAGCAAACTGAATTTGAAATCTTGCGATTCTTTTCATCTAATTTAGATTCGACATCAGACACAAGGAAGGTGAAACAGGCTCAGCAGTCAGAGGAAGCAAAGAAAACGAAGAAAATAAGCACTGAACCGAGTAGGCTGCAAGTAAAAGGGAATGTGTAAAAAGAAATTTTCAAAATGAATGTTCCTTCTTTTTTAAACTATACACATGCCCAGAGCTAAATGTTCAAATCTTTGCATATGATATGCACAACTACAGATGGAGAAGGGAGCAAGTATTTGCAGGCTCAGACAGAGGTGCAGAATAGCATATTTAAACCAAGTACAAATGTGCATATGGCTTGGCTGCCATGGGATATATGCAAGCAATTCGTGTATACGTAGCTAAATAGTACAGAATGCATGTATTTGTAGGTCAGTTATGCCCACCATTAACTAAGCAAGTTATGCTGGGTCTTAATAAGTCATGTGGAGTTTACAATACAGAGTCCACCTCGTGGCATTAGGGAAAATGCCACTGCTGTCCTGTTGCCAATAAGGCATAGACAATTTAGAGGGGTCTAAACTGCCTCACCCAAGGAATAGAAGGAAGCAGCGCTTGAAATCACCAGCTGAACAGATCTGACGGAAGTACAAACCTGTGATCTCTTGAAAGAGAAAAAGGAGTTTGTTTAGCCTGAATCAAGCCTCATGTCTGCTGGAGAAAAGGCAGGCATTACCCTGGCCAGGCAATAGGCCAGGCAAGATCAAAAGAACCCCTAATATGGGAATTTCAGAGAACCAGTATGAACTGGGGCTGGCATTCAATCACAAAGGTGGTGAGGAAGGGGTCCAGAGCACCCGCTACACAACTGTCTTTTCTATTCCAGTTCCTTCAAGCAGGGCTGGATTAACGCACAGGCAAACTAGACACAGGACTAAGTGAAGAAGCGGCCCAGTCGCACTTATTTTACATATTACAATTACTGAATGAAAAAATACTATAAATATACAGTATAAAGTAGGGGCCCATGAGTTTATTTGCCTAGGGCACACCAAAGGGTTAATCCAGTTCTGCCTTCAAGTATATCACCACGATGTTTCAGCGTGTCTCAAGTCTCCTCCCCGCTCCCTTGGACAACATCCCTCACATTGGAGAACCAGGTCTCCCTCCTACCGAGAGAGGAAGCAGCACATCCTGGAACAACCTGGCCACGGCACATAGGGGAGAAGGGGAAACAAGGCCACCAAAGTCCCATGAGGCACCAGAGCAGTGTGACCCATGTCTGTTGAGGTTGGGGAATCAAGATTTTCTGACAAAAGCTGTAAGGGTTTGAGCTTTTGGTTTCATAGACAAGGGAAAGTTTTAAAAAATCTCTGGAGAGTTGCTGGTTTTCCCCCAGGGGAAACAAAAGCAGGATGGGCCCTTGGACTTTATCAGCTGAAAATGGTAGAAGGTCATCATCAACCTTTTGACCACAGGAGAGTGGCCACGTTAATAGACGAAGAGCTCCCAAGCAGCGCTCTTGCTATTCCGCCCATCAATTCAACTTCAGTCCACATCCAGGACGGCTGTACACACAATGCCCCCAGTTTACTATGATTTACTCCAGGAAAATGCTGGTTAATTCAGGACCAGATGTGGAACTCAACCTCCGCCATAGAAACAATGTTAAAAGCTGGTAGAAATGCTGAGCTGACTCTTCTCTCCCCCACTCCGCTCCTTTCTCTTGGGACATTTATATTCAAACTGAAGGGGGATGCAGGGAAAGGATATTGCTAAAACTTCCCTGCCAGAAGCGATTTATCCCCTGACTTATAAAAATACTAAAAAAAAGAAAAAGCATGTGCCTTTGGAATGTGCCAAAGTGTATCAAATGGCCCATTCTTTGCAAATATTTCCCCAGGTAGGATGCCCCTGGGCCCTTCTGCCAAAGGCTTCCCATCCCGCCTGCAAATTACTCAAGTCAAGCACCGCTTAGTACTCATTAATATGCATTAAAGAGCACAGGAGAAGGAGGTACTTAATCACAAGGAAACTGCACTTTGGAGAATCAAAACCCCTGCTCAGCTTAGCGAGCGAGTTATTTGGGAATCCAAGTCGCCCAGTGGAAGTGTGACAAGGGAAGTGGGGGGAAGGGATGGTGGAATCATTCTAGCCAATTAGTAACACGGATGGGTCCCTAATGAATCTACTACGACATGTGGGGCTAAAGGATGCAGGGGCTGTCAAGCTTACTAACACTGATACTCGAGGTTTGGGGTGTGAAGCTCCACTGCACCTCCCTGACACTTGCCAGCAGGAGCCGACAAGGCCCTGAAGGACCACAGGGCTGTGATGGTCTCCCATTCTGCCGGCATCCTGGGCCCTTCTCCACCCAGCTCCCCAGCTGCACTAAAGCATTTTCCAAGTCCCATCCCATGGGCAGCACCTGCCGGTCTCCTCTCTCCTTCCTGCAGCCAGCGGCAGGCTTTGATTACAGGGGCCTATCTACATCATGAACTAGCCCACAGCTTGTCCAGACGTGGCACTGTTATACACGCACCACGTCCCAAAGCAGAAGCTGCAGTCACACGGCCCTACAGATGGGCTAATGACCATCATTCTGGGCCTGGCAGTGGCTCCCTCATGCTCTACACAGGCTACTTTCTGAACCAGGATAATCAGCCTGGATGTAGCACATCACAAATGCATCTGCACTGCTTCCAGTTCTGGAGAATACAGCAAGCAGTGCCATGAGTTTCTTAGGGCACTGCAAGTCTGCAGCAGTCATACCTTGAGAGCCAGTCTCCCCACCCCCCAAAGCTCCTTCATCAGGCAACTCCAAAACCACCCGACTGCTTTCTGCCGGCCACACTGCAGCCAGTGCCAAATTAGCACCTGATGAAGGCCATCCCTCTGTCCTATACATTACATTGCATTTTGCAGAGTCCAGCACCCTAACTTGGATCTCACTCCTGGTTCCTCCGTCCCCCCATATTTTGTATTGAAGCTGGAAGGTTGTCTGCAGAATGCATTTTACTGTCCAAAACCAAGGACCTCATGTATAATTTAATTTGGGACTTGGCAGAAAAACTCAAGCCTAGCACTTTTGCAACTGCCCTGTTTTTCCCTGGGAAGGGAGAAGATAGAGCAAAACTGGGTTTATAACAGCAAACAGGTTGCAATCTTAAGGGGCTAGAATATACACATGTATACATATATACACATACACGTGTATACATACATATACACACACACACACACATACATATATACATTATATATACATACATAGAGTCCATCCAGGAAGAGCACACATCAACTGCTGAAGCTTCCTTAGCCTGATGAAGGGTTTTTGAACCCGAAAGCTTGCTTAATAACTATTCTCCAACCATTTGGGTTGGTCTAATAAAAGATATCAAATTCACCCAAGGAATCTTGTC